GGACTTACTTGCTGGCGAGAGGTGTTAGTCACCCTAAACCTAATTCCGAATTAGGTTAGGGCTAACCTAATCTCGGATTAGGGTTGGGAAGTTAGGGTTAAGAGGGGCAATGAGGTATGTGGATACTGGCCCCACCTGGATAGGTCATGTAGGGTCGACATCAGACCTGACCAGGTTGCTTGAGTGATTGGATGGGGTGGCGAGACACAAAGGAGGCTGATTGGAGTAAGCGAGAGGGAGTAGAGAGTGAGAGGTACTTGCACCTGGAATCTGCACTTCAAGAAGACATTGAGTGACTTTTGGGCTTCCCCTCAAGAGGGAGACTTGATCGGAGGCTGCCATATCTGCATTGGAGAGTTGCAAGTTGCTACTTTGGTCTTCAGACATCGGCGGGGGATCCGGCGTTGTAACAGGGGTGTAGGAAGACCCTCTTAGTCATGCTAGGACACTTCGTGTAGTGGTAGCTAGGGGTCAGGAGGACCTATGAGAGAGGGGGGTGAGTCGTTATCCATCATTGGAGGCCAGGCCTCACAGGTAAGTGCCGCGTGACCTGGTTATGCCCGTGGGAGGTTGCTTGGTCCTTCATGGCCTGTTGGGGTGTGCTGGGCTCTCTTCCTCTTCTCTGCGGTCTTGGCTGTGTATGAGCATGTGGATTGCTTTCTCACCTAATGGATGGATGGATGATGTATCTGTTCTCAATGACATATCTTTCTACAGTGCAATGTCTTTTCATTTCTGAACGGCTGTAGGGGTGAGTTCTTGCTGAAAGTTGTCTTTTCCTTTTCAGTACGGTAGAGGCAGTTTGGGATTGACTTGGTACACCTATCTCGTTGGTCCTAGTCCACGACCTACTTGGGACCTTCGGGACTCAGTGGGACCAGGCCCAACAGGACAGGACCTTTAGGGCCCAAATCTGTTGCCACCGATGCATCTCTTTGTTGTGCTGAACTTGGGGGACATACGGCTAGCAAGGGCATTCCTTTCAAGGGGATCTTGACTGGTCTTACTGCATGTTATCACATACTGCCCCGCGTCTGGCTCGACGACCGTCTGCACCCCTCGAAATCTCCATTGCTGCAATTAGTTTTCTTCGACTGATTTATTGTGATACATGTACCTTGTCAGGTTAGACAAGAGGGGATCTCCAACTAATCTGATCGGGCCCGTTCAATAAGTCAGTCCTCTCTTTCGTTTTATTTTTTTATTTATCTTTATTCTACTGCGTGAATGCCATTCTCTAAGTCCAAATGAATTGTCGCTCCGGCTAGGAGTTCTACCTTCTACTCTTTGTGATTTACTGTTTGTTTGTTTTATCTGAACTATCTATGTCCGGTATTGAGACGCGTGCGCAGAAAGCGGAAAGAGAGAGAAGGGAGAAAGAATTTGATCGGGCCCGTTCGATAAGTCAGTCCTCTCTTTCGTTTTATTTTTTTATTTATCTTTATTCTGTTGCGTGAATGCCATTCTCTAAGTCCAAATGAATTGCTGCTCCGGCTAGGAGTTCTACCTTCTACTCTTTGTGATTTACTGTTTGTTTTTTTTATCTGAACTATCTATGTCCAGTATTGAGATGCGTGCGCAGAAAGCGGAAAGAGAGAGAAGGGAGAGAAAAGGTGTTCTTTTTGAGAGTGTGAGCAAGGGAAAAAGGAGTGTTCGTCCGAAAGTGAGCAAAGTGCGGACCCCTCTTGAGAGATCTACTGACACCTTATCCTCCGGCATGGCAGGCATCACGCCCGAGCAATGGAAGGCCATGCTGGACGCAGCGGTCGATAACGAGAGACCCTTTTTTCAAAACCTTTATGAGGACGCTATACACAGAGAAAGGGAGGCAGAGGCAGCAGCCAGAGCCACAAGTATTGCTGAACAGGTGGCCCTCCTTGCGGTTCCGGAATCGAATGATGACCGATTCCAAGAGAAGTTGGCTGCTGCCGTAGCAGCCTTGGTTCAACAGCGGACCTTGGAAGACCTTAAGTCCCGTGTCACAGATCTGGAGAAGCGGAACCAAGAGTTGCAGGTTGAGATAGTTAGCCTCAAACAGTCCCAATTGTCTGCCCCCCATCCTCCTAACCCTCGACCTGCTTCAGTCCCAGTCTCACACATAACACAATCCTCATGACGAGAGCAAGTGGAACTGTGACGAGAGCAAGTGGAACTGTGACGAGCGCAGGAACCAGTGCCAGCTCCTCAAGCGGCAGCGCCGGCAGTTCTGCACTATTCATAGTCCCAAATGCAGGAACATCAGCCCAAAACGCCACAGTTCTTACTAGCGTACAGTACAGCGGTCCCGTAGTGGACAAGCGGGCAGCCACTCGGCCATCCAAATACGACGGGAAAAGGGATATCACCTCTTCGATTAGCTCCATGCGCTCATACTTCGAGGTACTGCGAACACCGCAGGAAGACCGAAGCATGATCATGGGTACTAATACTGAGCCCGTCGTACGGAGTTTCATAGAACTCCAAGTTGTTACAGCAGGTTATGAGAGGATTGACCTGACCGAGTGGCTGAAAGTGACTCTTGTACATACTCTTGAGGACCTCCTCATCACGCAGTATCAACATAAGCACGCTGCGCTCAAGGCAAGACTGAAGCTTGAGGCCCTCAAGGGCCAAACGTGGAGGACTTCCATGCAGGCTTTGGAGCAGCACTCGACTGGTCTGTTCACCACTCCAAACCTGGGATTGACTGACGTGTCTTGCATGGATGTAGTCATGGGAGTGGCCCCTAAAGAATACGTCTCCCAGCTAGGACTCAAAGACCATACCACTTGGCGAGAGCTACTGACGGATCTAGTCAACCTAGAAGCCAAGGAACTCGCCAGGCGTGTAAAGGCACCCGTTGCAGGTAGAACCTCGCAACGCAAGCGAGCCTTTAAACCACCAGTACCTCCGAGCCTCTTTTTGCCGACCCTGATTTTCACTGCGCTCGGAGTTTTGCCGAGCCTGGGTCCCACTCCATTTCTTTATGGTACTCTCACGGGAAGAAMAAAAAAAAAAAAAAAAAAAAAAAAAAGTTACGACCGTGAAAACTCAGAAAACAAGAAAAAGAAACAAAGCTTTGGGCGTGATTGCAGCTGTATACATTCTCGAAAGTGTAAGTGTGAGTGTGCCCTCAGTGAGGGCATCTCAGCCCCGTGGCCAGGTTGTCAGATTTCATAAACTCAAAAAAAAAAAAAAAACGGACAAACATGGATTCGCTCGTGAAAATGGCACGATACATTCCTGTAAGTGCCAGTGTGCTGAGGGTTACAATCCTCTGAGGAAACACAGCTCGAGAAAATCACGGATTCAGATTGTCAGAGTCCGAAACATGAAAACAAGAAAAAAAAAACGAAAACATGGATTCGGCCTTGAAAACGGCTGGATACATCAGTGTTACAATCATCTGAGGAAACAACACTAGAGCAGATCACGGATTCCGCCCTGCCTCGTTGGCAGGGTACTCATAACAAACAAATACAAAAGAAAAAAAGAAAACAACAAGTTTGAGAACGTGACCATCTTCGCTGTAAGATGCATGCAAGACTGTGAGGCTGTGTGAGCACGGTCTCCTAGACATCCCTGCCCGACATCATTGCAGTACAAAGGCCCGTTTTTTTTCCTTTCCCTTTTGTGCACAGGCAAAAAAAAAAAAACGACTTTTGGGACATTGCCGACCCTCTGCCCGACCCCCGAAAAGTTCGGGTACTGGCCAGTATCACGTAATTTCCCAACACTGGGGAAGGTACTGGTGGTTTAAGGCCTTCTTGTTGAAGGTCTCAAATGTGTGATACTCTAAACGAGCTTCGCTGGCCAATAAGTTCTTGATGTCTGTGGGAAGACACCTTAAGAACATGGTCAATAAGACCTGTGGATTGCACTCCACTCCTGGGACGACAATCAGACGCTCTACGGTTGTGGTAAGCTCTCGCACCGACTTGTACTTTTTAGCGTCAAACTTTAATAACCCACCAGTGGCAATCTGTGCCTGCTGAGGGTTGTGCCAACGTGCTTCCACTAGATCCATAAAGCTCTCTAGGGTTGTGGGTCTGCGCCCAATCACCCATGTTCCTGTCGAACCCCTTCGTAGCCACCAATCCATTCAACCAGCAAGTTGTTGATCCCTCTTAGGATGCAACAATTATCACTTCCTCCTCTACCAATGTCCTCTTTGCCCTCACCCACACTGGCACCGTTTTCAACCACGTGTCGAGAGCCTCATCCTTCTAGTCTCCTGAGAAGGTTTGAGGTGGTTTCAGGGGTTCTTGGAGTACCAAGTTAATTGTTGTCCCGTTGGCGGGACAGGTGGCGATTGTGGTGTAGCTCCAGCCGCTGGACAAGGAGATGAAGAAGCAACAGTCTGGGATAGAGTTGTTGCTGAACTACCGCCTGGTGTTGATCCGGCTTGAGCAACATAGGGCCTGTCATCGCTGAGAATGGCAGCGATGGCAAAACTGCTGGCCTGATTCCTAGCCTTTGCATATCATTCAGGTTATGGTCCAGGGTGTACTGGATTGCATCCAGTTTGTTGTCCATGTATGCTTGCATGGAGAGGATGCTTGCCTTTACAACTTTCATGTTGTTGTTTAGGGTAGAGTCATCTAAACCGTCTAGTGCAGCCTTGTCTACCTCTCTGCTCTCTACTCCTATTTCTAATTTCTTTCCCCCTGCCGGTAGCGTTTTTAAGTTCCTCCTTTAGCCTTAAACCACCAGTACCTCCGCCAGTGTTGGGAAATTACGTTGTCCTGGCCAGTACCCAAAGTTTTCGGGGGTCGGACACAGGGTCGGCAATGTCCCAAAAATCGTAGTTTTATTTTGCCCGTGCACGAAAGGAAAAGGAAAAAAAAAAAGGCCTTTGTACTGCAATGATGTCGGCCAGGGTAGTCTAGGAGGTCGTGCTCACAGTCTTGAATGCATCTTACAACAAAGACGGTCACATTCTGAAACTTGTTTTCTTTTTTTTATTTCTCTTTTGTTTGTTATGTGTCCCCTGCCAACAAGGCAGGGCGGAATCCGTCATCTGCTCTAGCTGTGTTTCCTCAGATGATTGTAACCCTGATGTATCCAGCCGTTTTCAAGGCTGAATCCGTGTTTCCATTTTTTTTTTTCTTGTTTTCTTTTTCTGGAATCTGACAATCTGAATCCGTGATCTTCTCGAGTTGTGTTCCCTCAAAGGATTGTAACCCCGATCACACTGGCACTTACGGGAATGTATCTTGCCATTTTCACAGCCGAATCCGTGTTCCTGTCTTTTTTTTTTTTTTTTAGTTTCTGGAATCTGACAACCTGGCCACGGGGCTGAGATGCCCTCACTGAGGGCACACTCACACTAACACTTTCGAGAATGTATACAACTGCAATCACACCCAGAGCTTTGTTTCATTTTCTTGTTATGTGAGTTTTCACGGCCGCAACTTTTT